CTCATCTCTCTCATCTTGTCTCTAATTTCTCTCAAGATTGCTAACAACGAACCATCCTCTTCATCCTTCTTTGTTGCTGACAAATCTCCTTCCTCTTCTCTCTTCTTACCTGCAGCACCGACTCCTTCCTTCGATTTGTCTATTCCTGGTGGCGTTCTCACAGTCTTGTTATCTCTTTTGAAAATTTCCTCCGCAAGTTGTTTTTTTTTCTCTCTTTTCCTCTTAGCTTTCGCTATCTCACATGCCATACTATTTTCACTTCTCACATAATCCAGTATGCAGCTCGATCTTTCTCTCATTCTTAACTCCTCCTTTGTAAGTCTTCCTTTTCCTCTTTTTTCTTCTTTTGGTGTGACAAAATTCCTTTTTACTACCTTCTCATTCTCGCCTGCCTCTCCGACTTTCCCTCCATCCTGTACGTCACTCGTTATCACGCTCTCCTTCTAGTCAATCTCCTTGACCGCTGCCTATATGCCTATAGACTGTTCCGTCTATGTCACTACCTACTCTATGCGAGTGAGTCCCGATTGCACACATTACAAATCGGACACGACAATATTTTCCGATCGGACACGGTAACGATTGCACACGGTAACGATCGGACACGGTAACGATTGCGTCGATTGCACACGGTAACGATTGCACACGGTGTCGATTACACACGGTAACGATCGGACACGGTAACGATTGCACACGGTGTCGATTGCACACGATGTCGATCGGACACATGCTCCGTGGCTGCACGCGCAGCGAAATAAAAGTTGTGATTTTCGTTAAAGCAGGGCACACACACGTGTGTGTGTGCCCTGCTTTAAGCGGGGAGCACACACTTCTGCACAACGCATAATACGTAAGCATAAGAAAATTGATTGGTCCATACACATGTGCATAAGGAAATAGACCAATCAATTTTCTTATGCTTACGCATTATGCGTTATGCAGAAGTGTGTGCTCCCCGTTTTAAGCAGATATTTTGTGTTTAACTGTGTAAATTTACCTGTATAGGTTAGTGGCGCGCTTTACTTTATTCAAATAATTTTATAACATGTTAAATAATTTTTGCGACCGACACCGTGTCCGATCGACACCAGGTGCAATCGACACCGTGTGCAATTGACACCGTGTCCAATCGACACCGTATGCAATTGACACCGTGTGCAATCGTTACCGTGTCCGATCATTACCGTGTGCAATCGTTACCGTGTCCGATCGGGAAATATTGTCTGGTCCGATTTGTAATGTGCGCAATCGGGACCATCCCCTCTATGCGTAACGCAAATCTCGCTCCCTTTTAGAACGCACCACGCTATTTTCCCGCCTTCTCTCACCTAACCTCTCCCTCTCTCTTAAGCATTTAGCGCTCTTTTCCTTCACTATTTAATATTTCCCTACTGCATTTATTATCCTATCCTAAATTTAAGCTATTCTTTCTACCTTTCTATCGGTTTAGCGCCTACCTCACCTCCTATTTCCCTCTAAACTCTCGCCTAATTTATCCGCAACTCTCACACGGATGCACAACACAAACGCTCCACTAACCAAGTCCTATCCCCATTTCATATATAATTCTTTAAAATTTAGTTGATTAGCTTTATATGCGATCAAAGGTTCATGTACAAGGTTTATGAAAACAAAACTTCCTCTATGAGGAAGCAATAGTAATATTTAATATTTGGTAACCATGCCCTTAGAAATAATGACTGTTGCGTAACGACGTGGCATTGACTTGATAAGTGAGTGATTGTGTTTCGAGAGAGGGATCTTTTCCTATTCTTCACTTAAAGTCTTGAATAAACCTTGTTTATTTGAACGTTTCTTGTTAGCTACTCGGCGACCATCCCAAAAATGCTCAATAGAATTTACTTACTCAATAGAATGCTTTCTTACGCCAAGGACAATATGCCTTATGGATGAATCTTTTCAACATGATAGAGATCCAAAACACACTTCAAAGATCGTATCACAGTATTTGTCTGCCAAAAAAGTTCGAGTTATCGAATGGTCTGCTTAGTCTAAAGGTTTAATCTTATTGAACATTTTTGGAATTTTGGTCGCCAAGTAGCTAACAAAAAACATTCAAATAAACAAGGTTTATTCAAGACTTTAAGTAAAGAATAGAAAAAAATCCTTCGAGACACAATCACCCACAATCGAGTCAATGCCACGTCGTTACGCAGCAGTCATTATTTCTAAGAGCATGGTTACTAAATATTAAATATTACTATTATTTTTTTTAGTATTTTCTAGTGATTTAATTAATTTTTGTGATTTAAAGTAATTTGAAGTTCTCTGGCTCGATATTTATGATCATGCGTTTCTTGCTTTTTGTTAAATAAATCAATAATTATATGCTATTTTTTATCATTTACAACGTTTATTCATAGTAAAATATGTTATTCTCTTTAAAGTTAATCATTTTTTTGTTCGTTTTTCCTAAATCCAAAATATGGAAAAAAAATCTGCCTGGCTCAAAACTTTTGATCGCCACTGTGTATCAAGAGACACGGTAGCGCCTCACGCCAAGTATATATTTTTTAACAAGATACAAGAGGAGATACATCCTTTTGTAAGCGATTAACAAGATACAGCAGTGCAGTGGTACATCCTTCTTTCATAAGCAAGACGCTATAGCGTATCTTTTACAGGAAGGAGAACGCTTCTGTAGAAATAAACCCCTAAATTTTTTTAATAAGTCAATATTATCAAAAGATTTAAATATTGGAAAAATATATAGATTTTTCTGATTATAATAATATAACATTGATGTATATATATGCACTTGATGCATAAATATGCGTATGTGCCTGTATTTTTCTGCCTAATTTATGTCATTCAGATACGTCGTCGTCGTCGTCGCAAAATCTTAAAAAGTGTTGTCGGTTTGGCCTACCGTGCCGCTAGAAGGCTCTCGTCACGAGTAAGTGTTAGGCGGCAAAGTTTACTGGATTCAAATTTTTGATTATGAGTTATCATCAGATATATACGTGGGGTGGCATGACTCGTATTTTGGTACAGTTTCGGGGTTGAACAGCAACCCCCTTGTAGCCTGTATAGGGATGAAAAAGGGTAAAAACAGTTTTTCAACAAAAGAAAGGAAAGGAATGGTGGGCGGTAGTTCGTGTCTAAGGACGGATTGTAGTTCTCACGAGGGTAATTCTATAGAGATTAATATCAACCCATTACCCCCTTTTTTAAAGAAAGGGTTAAAAATTTCGAATTTTAATTAACGCTTAATTCGTACTAATTTTATCATGATTCGGATTTTAATACAGGTACAGGGACTGTTGATCAGCAACTCCTACGTGACCTATATAGAGTTCAAAGGGGTAAAAACAGTTTTTTAACGAAAGAAAGGGAAGGAGTGATGGGCGGTGGTTGGTGTCTGAGGATGGATTGTAGGCTTTGCAATGATAGTTTCATAGATGTTGGTGCCAACCCCCCACCCCTTACCTCTTAAAAAAAAGTTTAAAAATTTTGAGTTTTAATTAAGCCTTAATTCATACTTATTGTTAGTTTGTCATGATTCGGATTTTGATACAGGTCCGGGGTTGATCAGCAACTCTCCTGTAGCCTGTATAGGGATGAAAAGGGGTAAAAACAGTTTTCCAAGGAAAGAAGGGAAAGAAGTAATGGGCGGTGATTGGCTTAATTTATACTTATTGTTAGTTTGTCATAAATCGGATTTTAGTTTATGTCTAGGGTGGTTACTTTACTTCAGTACGCAGTATTCAACGTTTGAGCTTGTTACAAGCTACGGAGCAGTCGGGGAGGATTGGCACCTAAGAACGAGTGGTAGCCCCCCCATAAAGATAAACTCAATGCCGTTGGGCTCATCCCTCTAGCCCTTTTTGTTTGAAAGTTATCAATTTTCAAAGTTAAGGATTAAAGGGGATTGAAAATAAAAAATAGTCCGATTGAAGTGGAACAAAATTCTATAAATAGGGCTCGATGTGGCTGACAAAAAAGGTTCTATAGACCCATCTTCTAAAATTAATACTTAAAACGTTATAGAATTTTGAAAAAAAGCACATTTACCCAAAAAATTTTTTTAGTTTAAAGTAACTTTACAATTTGAATTTTGATTTAAATTGTGAATGGCTAACTTACTCGAAAACAAAATGCTAAAATATTTGCGCTTGTTACGAGCGAGGGAGTGATTAAAGTAGTTCGATGATGAACGACTTTTGCCAAAAGTGATAGGTTTTATTTTTTATATCGAAAGAAGGAACTTTCCTGAATCGATTAAGCCCAGAAAAAAGATAATTTACCGACCCGTTCTCAAGATATTTAATTTCAAAATTAAGTAATTTTTAACATTAGTCTAATAGGAAAAGAGGTATTTTGCTATGAATAACACGAGTTTGCGAAAATCTTTTGCCAAAAATGTCCGAACAATATATATCGATGAAAAAAGGACACTGTGAGGAAGCCTATAGTTGAAAGTGAACACGATCCACCGTACAGTTTTTTTTTTTAATTAATAATTAAAGTTTGGTTTCCGGTGCTCAAGCGCTGACTTTCACAACTCGAGCGTGACATGGCAACGCCGCACGCTGTGATCGTCGGCGTAAGGTTAGGTGTAAGTGCGCGCAAAGACAAATGTGTATATACGACGGCTTTGACAAAATATAAAGTGCTGCTATAAATTATGATTAACTGATAATTTAATTATCATTGAAACGGTATTGCCGAAATAGATTATCCGGAAACAGTGATAATATTAGTGTGAAAAAATCGAAAATAAAACTAAATGAAAAAAATCAGGAGTATAGTACATACATTAAATCAGTTAGAGGTAATGTAATTTTATCGTATTTTGTGATTTCTAACATAAATGTTCGAAGTACAAGTAAATTGTTATACCATTTTTGCGGCTAATTTATTCTAGCTACTGGAATTTTATTTGGTTAACACGAGCTGAGGACTCTTACCCGATTAAAACCTTGTTATATATCACATTTTTGTATAGAAAATTAATTTTAAAACGTGCATAACGGAGAGAAAAGGGAAATAAAGAACAGGATGCGGGAGTGGAATCAATATAGTCGGTAATGTAATGTCAAATTCGTCAAAATATTTTATTTATTAGTTTTTACTGTTTAACAATCAAGATAGCTATAAAAATCGCATCTCTGGGAATGAACACAACACTGTGAAAGCCGGTGAACAGGCGAGTATGATTAGCGTAAAGACGGCTGTCCAGTAGCAGGTAGGCAGTTGTCGAGCATCAAACGGTGTATATCTTTTGGCTGCACCTATAAAATAAAAAGTGAAAATAAATTGTATACATATAATATCACTATAATTTCAATGTTTAATATATTCAATTTTTGGTCATTAATTTTTGTCACTATGTATACATTTTTGAATAAACGTTATTATCAGACAGCCAGCCAATTCATTTGCGTTTGCCAGTAACTCATTATCGAATACAAAAGCGAAGTATTGCTAAAGTATTGCTGAACGTCCTATATTCTAAAGCGTGCAAGAGACCGTTTAAAGCAATAAAAACAGACATTTTCAGTTGTATGGAAACAAGCATTATGAGAACATGCTACAAGATTCCACGCAGAGCATACACCCCAGTCAGTCCAATTATTTGAAAAAGTTAACTGGCCATTTTTACGTATAATAGATATAGCATACCAGCATAGCACTACCAGTCAAGGCAGCACACCCAGTATGTGGCAAACGCGAATGTTAGACTCCGATGCAGAAGATGGCCTTACTTCCATTCCTCTCTCCTCGTTCGACGAAGCAAGGAAATCGATGACTTTATCGATAATCTTTTTGTTCGATGTTACTCGGGGTTTTCCATTGACACTTACGGCCAAACATAGTTTGACACCGTCAGCGCCAGATCGATTGAACGCATCACGAAGGCTGTTCATATTAATACCGGCAGCAGCGATTTTCGACATCATGTTCTTCGACATATGATCAGATCTCTGAAGAGTTTCTAGAAATTGCGCTTTCTTCTTTGCGATTGCTTGCCGTTGCAGTAAAGTCTGCAATCTCAAAGCCCCGGCCGTAATTGCTGTATCGCTTACTTTGAAATCAGCTAGTAAACCGTACAGGATCTGGCAGTCAGTTAAGGCATTGTGAGAACCAGCTATAATTCTTTCCCATTCCTCGCCCTTCAAATATAACTTTGCGAGCTCTTCTTGTTTTTTAACTTTACCTTGTCCGATGAGTGGAATTGTATCGCACACTCCATAAACACCTTTGACAAAACTTTCCAAGAGACCGGTCCTTGTAGCCAACGCATGATCCGCGGTGCATCGAAGCGTACGATATTATGTCCGAGCAGCAGCGCCTGTGGACCACATTCTCCGAGGAAGCGTATAAATTCTTCTCCTACTTCTCGTGGTGGAATCGTCGTCACTACCTTATTGTAATGATGTAGCTCTCCTCCAACCAGTGATAATCCATTTTTTTCTGCTGCATGACAATTTATAGATTGGGAAGGTAGCATGTACCGTGCGAACTCCTGATCGCCACACTTCGCCGCTATTTGAACGATGTCTGCAGTAGATGCCAGACCAGTAGTTTCAATGTCAACGATGACTTGCGGACTGTCTTCACGGAGAGGTTCATCAATTTCACAAGTTGTTTCGATAGGAAGATCCAGTCCCATACCTGATTGATAAGTAATCCCTTCCCTGCTCTCTCGTGCTATGGTGATACGTTGCCTTTTATTTTTCAAATAACATCGACGGCGTTTTACTTCGAATGTGGTACGTTTTACAGCTATTTCTCGTTGCAAGACTTCTTTTCGTAGGCGGTATTCTTCAGCTACCGTTCCTGGCGGTAATCCAGCTTCGAATCTTACATCGATGATGTGTTTAGCTCCAAAATTTTTCTGACAGACTGCTGCTGCCACTCGCAGAAGAATAGAACGCGAAGATGCGTAATGTCTGGACTTCGGTGCTCTGGTGGCCACCATATGGTTAAATGATTCATTGAGTTGAGACGATCCCCCTGGCGCAACTTTCAACACCCGAGATGTGAACTCCATCAAGACCCCATGAAGTGCAGTTTGCAGATTTTTACTGAAAAGAGGTTTTCCCTTCGGTAAACTCTTAAACACGTACTCCGGATTGTCTTTGGCCTCACACCAAGTGCCGCAGTTGCTATGGTTCCCAAATATGTGCTCGGCAATGCTTAATAGAGCTTTCGTCGTAGCTTCAGTATTTCCTTTATTTTGGTCCAAGGCATAATTGAAGCATCGCTTCAAATATGGGATGACAGATCCTCTGTCAAGCTTTCGATGGGTGTTGGCCAACTTATAAAGTTTTCCGGTAAACTTTTTACGCACATGATTGGAATCCGACCACTTGACGACTCGATGTGAAGTTTCTCGTTGGTCTGCCGCAATTGTGGACGAATCTTCATCCCCAATAAGTGTTCCTATTCGGATTCCAGCTTTTTTAAAATCTGGATTTTTCACCATTAGTTAAACCGCTGTATCTGCCTCCATGGATTTCGCACTCCCTGACCAATTTTTGGTACACTTTTGGCTGTCAGGTGAGTGGCCCTTTCGGCACACGGCACAGCATGTGCTCTTCATGCCATAAGCCAAGAGTTTCTTAGAGCGTAAGCTGCCAACAGAACCCTAACCGCTCTTACTATCGTATGTTCGACCGTTTCCTCGCTTCCGCCAGCCAAAGTCGTACGAGACTGTCACGTCGACTACGGACGCCGCAGAATCTTGTGAATAAGAGTCACCGCTTGGAATGTAATTGTGTAAATTGTTAATAACATATATACACACAAGTAGTTGAAAACAAGTAAATAGAAAGCGAGCAAAACTTTTTTTTAGTCTTCCAACAAATAGTGCTTAGAGAAATAGAAATAAAAACATTATAAACATATTAGAACATAGTAGAAAATAGTAGCATGTATAAGAAGATCTCGGCGACTTTTAGGGTCAGGGCTAGAAATGCAAAATGAGTTAGAGTATGCAAGTAAACATCAGATGCAAGAAAAGTTAGACAACCATTTGAAAACAACGGCTGTAATAAAAATTACAGAAAATTATAATTTATTAAAATCTGCCCCGTTTAGAAGAACCATGCTAGTAATGAAAAATAGAGAAAAGCTGGTAATCAATCAAAAACAGGAAAACTGCCAAAGCCCATTCAAGAACAAATTAAGATGGGGAAAATTTAAAGTAAAGCGCGTACAACCTGCTGGAACATTCTGGATGCGTACTAGATGAAATCTAAAAACCTGAATAATAAAAATGCAATTATAGTAAGACACATTATTATCATTATTTATTCTATTATTATCATAATTTATTCCGGAATTTCTTAAGCATCAGAATAGTTTTTCGCTGTTGGAATCGAGGATTTCTCTTGCTGGTATTATTGATTCTGCAAAAACAACAAATTTAATATGGCGAAAGCACGGTTTTTGAAATACAAAATATTGTTATATAAAACTTACTGCGTCGAGGGACATTTATCAGCAAGGTTGAGAGCTTTTTCTTCTATGATAGCATTCCAGCAGGATCTATCCGCAACTCTAATAAATGCTTCTCCAAATTGTTCTTCACATTTCTTTAGCACTTGGTGGGTTATCGGTGGAACATCCATTGCTGTGAGTAGTGTTGTCAATTGCTCGTGTCCAACACCGGAATCTATGCAACCTTGGAAAATAAAAGAATGGTATTAAACGATGAACATTTAAATATGTAATGTCCATTAAGATTACGTATTATTATGAAACTTGTTCTGAAAACTAGCATAACTTGTAACAAAGCAAAAAATATTCTTTAAAAGCCAGCGTAAGTTCTGGCGAAGCATGAAATATTCTATAAAATCTAACGTAGCTGGAGACACAGTATGAATCTGTTTTTAAAAGCCTGCTAAGCTTACGACAAGATGAGAAACTTGCTCTGTAAGCAATTTTAGCTTACAACAAGCTTTAAGAATAAAAAGTCATAAAAAATACTATTATATTACAAATGTAATAGCTTACCAAAAGCAACTGCAGCATTGATTTCGTACAATGATCTTCCTTTCTCTACTGCTGTCCTACTCGATGTGTGAACTTCCTTTATACACAAGCAGTTGTGGCACTTGATTGCGAACACTGAAGCCAAGCCGTATCTCTTCTCAGACTGTACGAAATCAAAGAAGAGTATTGTGGCACACGAATCGCACTTCATTAGCTTGGAAATTTCAGCAATTTTTATTAATCTGTATCCATGCACTTCACATTTAGGGTTTGTTGATTCCACAAATTCTTCTTGATGTATTTTGCGTACTTTAGCTTCTCTAGCTTTTTCCAGGTGTTCAGTACTTCGCTTCCTTCGTTCCACGTCTTGCAATTTAGCAAATTTATCACCGATCCTGAGTTGGTTCATTTTGGAAATTTGAATGTTTGTGCCGAGCTCTGACACTTAGGTTAGGTTATATCACCAGTACCAAGTATACCAACCGCACGAACTGTGCGGCGTTGCCAAGCCACTGCCCTCATCTCGTGCATGCAAAAAATTGTTTGTGTAAAAAATTACATGCACCTTGTGATATCATATCAACTTTTTCCATCAAAAATATTAATGCAAAATTACTGTACTTCAGTAAGTCGCCAAAATAACGCAATAATTCAATCGAAATAATCTCCGAAGTAGAGCACTCAAGAGTTGGCACAAGTTGAAAATTAGTCAAGCGACGCGTTAACACACACTTTATTTTAATCTATTTCAGGCAAAATATTATTCTACAACGTAAAAATTACTTACTAATAGTCTTTTTACGTCGTTACGAAGCTTTGTGATGCATTATCCTATTTTTTTATAATCATATATAAATGATTTGATAAAAAAATCATAAACATTGTTTTGACTTCGGCCTTTCGTTATCGAACTACCTTAAAGAAGTTTATAACACCTGAGGTCCATAAGTGTAGTGTTTATTAACCTTCTTTATTAAGGCTTTTACAAACAGGAAA